TGTTCAAGGTGCCAGCAAATTTGGTTTCTGGTGAGGGCTCTCTTCCTGGCTTGCAGACAGCCACCTTCTCTCTGTGTCCTCACATGGCCTTTCCTCTTTGCATGTGTGAAGAGAGCTCTCTGGCGTGTCTTGTTTTGTTCTTATAAGGATAGTAATCCTGGATTAGGACTTTATTCTTATAACTTTATGTAACATTAATTACTTCCCTAAAGGCCCTATCTTCAAATATAGTCACATTAGGGCTTCAACCTGTGGATTTTGCGGGGGACAAAATTCATCCCATAACATTCCACCCTCCACTCCCAAATTCATGTTATTCTCACATGATAAATATATTCATCCCATTCCAACAACACATAAAGTCTTAACCCTTTCCAGCATCAGTTCTAAAGTCTAAAGTGCAAAGTCTCATTTAAATCAGGTACGGGTGAGACTCAAGTTATGATTCATCCTGAGACAAAATTCCTTTCCAGTTATGAACCTGTGAAGCCAGACAAGTTATGTGCATCCAAAAAACAGTAGTGGGACAGGCATAAGACAGACATTCTCATTCCAAAAAAGGAGAAGTGGCAAATTCCATTAGATCTTAAGGTTCAACAATTATTATCTTTGGCTGAATCCTCTGCCCTTCAGGCCCACGGGGGTGGCATTGTCACCACTACAGCTGTAAGTAGCAGCCTGTTAAAACTTTTTGTGGACGCTCCACTCCTCAGATACTGGATGGAGGCAGCTGGTCTGTTGAAACTGAGGAGATGGTCTCATCCTCTGAAACTGAAGACAAAACAGCCTTTTCCCTGGGCCTACAGTGGGAATGATAGCACTGATGACCCCTGAATCACCTTCAAGGTCATTTATCCCTTTCCTTGAAGGATAAAGCATATTCACAGCTGAATAGCTCTGTTATTTCATCTTACAGAATCTCAGAAGTCAGAAAGCCTTCCGTGATTTATTTCAACCCATCTCTATTCTCTTTGGTCCAAACTGGCAGGGTCTCTGCTGATATAATCCCATCTCTATTCATGGCTCTTGCTAAGGTGATGAAAAAAGTCATGGTTAATTTCTCTATGGAGTGATTGAGGAGCCACACCATTGATGTTCTCTCCAGAACACACGTTATCATTTTTTTACTATATAAATAGGCCAAGAATTTTCCAAATCTTCAGTTTCTGGGTTGCTTTTGTTTTTGTTTTTTCGCCTAACGATGCTGTCAATTTATCTTTCCCCTCTAGCCTTTTACCATGAGCAATTAGGAAAACCGAGGCTGTGCTTTCAACACTTTGCTCACAAATCTTCCCTTTTAAAAATCCAAAGTTGTAATTCACAAGTTCTACACTTTACAAAACACTAAGCCACAATTCAGACAAGTTATTTGCCACTTTAAAACAAAAATCATCTTTTCTGCAGTTTCCTATAACATGTTCCTCACTTCCATGGAAGACTTCATCAGAATTGCTTTTAGCATTCATATTTTTATTGACAGCCCCTTCAAGGCAATTTAGACTTTTTCAGGCATGCACCTGAAAACTTTTCTAGCCTCTATTCACTGCCCAGTTCCAAAGGCACTTCCACATTTTTAGGTTATCTGTTACAGAAGCATCTCACTTCTCAATACCAAAATCTGCATTTGTCTGCTTGGATCAACATAACAGAGTACTGTAGACTGAGTCACTTAAAAATGACAGAAATTTATTTTTTCACAGTTCTGGAGGCTAGAAGTTTATTATCAAGGTACTGGGAAATTTTGTTTCTAGTGAAGGCTCTCTTACTGGCTTTTAGACATCCACTTTTTGTCTGTGTCCTCATATGGCCTTTCTTCTGCACATATGTGGAAAGAAAGAGAACAAGCTCTGGTGTCCCTTCTTATAAGGACATCAATCCTATTGGATTAGGGCCTCACCCTTATAATCTCATGTAACCTTAATTACCTCATTAAAGGCCCTATCTTGAAAGATAGTCACACTGGGGGGTTAGGGCTTTAATCTATAAATTTTGGGGCAACACAATTCAATACATGGAATAACAGTGGCCATGGAAGCAGATCCTTCCTCAGTCAAGCTTCCAGGTGAGACCACAGCCCCAGTTTACAATGTGATTATAACCTTGCGTGAGATCTTGAAGCAGAATATCCAGCTATTTCCCCAAAGAGATAGTTATCACATCCCTTATGCCTTTTTATCATAAAGGCAAGAAAGGGACTCATCTAGATTAGAATCTGCTACCAAATATTTGGAGTGAGAAGACTTGGGAGTCTAGAAATGGGAGAAGCTCAAAACAGTAGCAAAGATATTGTGGAGGCATATGTTCTATCAAAGAATAGCAATAATCAGGTTTTCATTGTTTTCTGTTTTCAGTTCCCACTTCTGTGAGATCATTTTACCAGCAGTTAGTTTGCTGTGGATTCTGTTAGCATGAAAGAGTTTCCGGTCATACTGTATTTTAAAAATTTCAGGCAATTTTTCCTCAACATGGTTGAGAAATAATATAGTAGAACAAGTTTCAGCATCCTCTTTTTGTGTCTTCCATTCTTCCATCATGTGACCTATCCTAGTTAGTAAATTACATTTTCCCAAAGACATTTCATTGCAAGCTTTCCCAGAAAATATTCTCCCTGTTTTCTTTCTGATTTCTTCTGACTTTGGGCATCTACCTCAGTTCTGAGAAGTAAAAAAGTAACTACATTTTGAGAAAGGCACTTTATCATTTCAGAGGCACATCTCGCTAATATCTAGCAAGCTCCAATGTTTAATTGACTTCAAAATACATGGCATTAATTGCAGCAGAATTTTATTTAGCCTCTGTTATATAAAGGTTTGTTCATATCCTTTGCCCACTTTTTGATGGGGTTATTTGTTTTTTTCTTGTAAATTTGATTGAGTTCTTTGTAGGTTCTGGATATTAGCCCTTTGTCAGATAAGTAGATTGCAAAAATTTTCTCCCATTCTGTAGGTTGCCTGTTCACTCTGGAGGTAGTTTCTTTTGCTGTGCAGAAGCTCTTTAGTTTAATTAGATCCCATTAGTCAATTTTGGCTTTTGTTGCCATTGCTTTTGGTGTTTTAGACATGGAGTCCTTGGCAATGCCTATGTCCTGAATGGTATTACCTAAGTTTTCTTCTAGGGTTTTTATGGTTTTAGGTCTAACATTTAAGCCTCTAATCCATCTTGAATTAATTTTCGTATAAGGAGTAAGGAAAGGATCCAGTTTCAGCTTTCTACTTATGGCTAGCCAATTTTCCCAGCACCATTTCCCCCACCATTAAGTAGGGAATCCTTTCCCCATTTCTTGCTTTTGTCAGGTTTGTCAAATATCAGATTTTTGTTGATGTGTGGTATTATTTCTGAGGACTCTGTTCTGTTCCATTGGTCTATATCTCTGTTTTGGTACCAGTACCATGCTGTTTTGGTTACTGGAGCCTTGTAGTATAGTTTGAAGTCAGGTATTGTGATGCCTCCAGCTTTGTTCTTTTTGCTTAGGATTGTCTTGGCAATGCAGGGTCTTTTTTGGTTCCATATGAACTTTAAAGCAGTTTTTTCCAATTCTGTGAAGAAAGTCATTAGTAGCTTAATGGGGATGGCATTGAATCTATAAATTGCCTTGGGCAGTATGGCCATTTTCACGATATTGATTCTTCCAATCCATGAGCATGGTATGTTCTTCCTTTTGTTTGTGTCCTCTTGTATTTCACTGAGCAGTGGTTTGTAGTTCTCCTTGAAGAGGTCCTTTACATCCCTTGCAGAAAACCAAATACTGCATGTTCTCACTCACAGGTGGGAATTGAGCAATGAGATTACTTGGACACAGGAAGGGGAACATCACACACTGGGTCCTATTGTGGAGAGGGGGTAGGGGGGAGGGATAGCATTAGGAGATATACCTAATGTAAATGACGAGTTAATGGGTGCAGCACACCAACATGGCACATGTATACATATGTAACAAACCTGCACGTTGTGCACATGTACCCTAGAACTTAAAGTATTAAAAAAAAAAAAAAAAAAAAAGGTTTGTCATGTATCTAAGTCGAAAAGGGACAAGAATAAACAAAGTTCTTGAATTCATCGATGGAGATTTATAAGGACTTATTTATCTAAAGTATTTAGATATTGTATATCTCATTTTAATTTCTGTATATATTAGCTTCTTTTTCACTAATAGGCCTACTCGACATCGAAGTATGGTACAAAAAATCCTGGCAAACCCTCTGATGGGCTCACTTGGGTCATTGACTTTTCCTTGAACTTGTCACTGTAATTGGGGAGACATGGGCCTGTGAAAAGATGTAATCTACCACTCTTAGATATAATCTACCATTCTTAACATATCAAGGAATGGAAACAGCAATTTTCCCAAAGAAGCAGGGCAGGATGTACAGGCCCATCCAAACACAGAACAATCACTATGAGCTCAGAAGTCACTCATGGTTTTCTGCCTAATGGTTGAAATCATTTAAACGAATATTTTCCAAACTCATTTGATGACCTAGCTTTATTTTCTTTTACATAATCATTAACAATAAAAAACCACTTTAAAGGACTCCATTTTTGTTAAACATTTTTATAGACATGAACTTTTTCAAATATGTTTATCTGTGCTCATGTTTCATCAGCAAAGCTTTCATAGACTAGCCAGTTTTCGGCAATGTAACCTCTTCGGATCCTTTCAGCATAACTGGTTGAAATATGTATGCTAAAGCAAACAAATTTGATGATATATTTTATCTTTTAAATATCTATAAAACTATGCTTACAAGATCACATTTATAGAGCAAAAATTTTTAAATGTGAAACATGAGTCTTTTTTAAAATTTAGAGTGGAAATTTACAGTTCTCTTTATTCTGTGAGACTTTCCAGGCATATTATTTAACTTCCTTTGTTTTCCATATCCTAACATGCTAAGGAAGTGGCAAAGAAAAAACAACCTCAGCTTTTATAATGACTTCCCCTTTGGAGAACTCTGAACTCAATTTTACAGTATTGTCATTTCCAAATAGCAGATCTGTTTTCACCTCATGAGTACACTTCTGAGATTATATATGAGAGGACCCAGGAGTTAAATCAGGACTCAGGAAGAGCTAGTCCCATAATGATGCTGCCTCAAAACTCTTGGCATATTGGTAAGGGTTTACTTTTATTTTGCTCTGCCATGTGGGAGATGGTGGGTGTAGTAAGAATACGTGTAACAACAGAGAGATATAAATATTATGTAGTAAGGTAAAAAGAAAACAGGACATGAGAAATGTAGAAAAATTGGAAGTTTTGTGGAACTTAGAGTAGCAGCAATATTGGAGGCAAAATTGAAATCCAAGAAAGGAGGAAATCATTAATAAAGTAAACAGCAAATGTATTCTAAAGACTGGAGATTAGAAGTCACACAAGGATATAAAGTTGTGGAAATGGAAAGAAGGGATAAATTAGAAACTTATTGTTCTCAAGTGGCAGGTACTACAGTAAATGCTTTAGGTCATTTCAATTTAATTCACGCATGTAACCTATTTTACAGATATTATTGTCTCCATTGGTAGATGGAACATGAAGACTTATAAGGACTAACTGATTTATGTAAGGCCATATAGTAGAATCTAAAGTATAATTTAAATTCAGGACCAGCTAAGTCTGAGCCCTTGATCTTTCTGCTATAAATTTTAATAAAGCAAATAAATAAAAAGACATTATGATAAAAAACAAAGAATAAGTCTTTGATGGACCCTAAAGAGTAAGGATTAAGAAAGGAATATATGGCTAAGAAGTATTTTAGAGCACGTCTGAAATTAGTAGTATCCTTTCAACTTGCACTTCATAGACGTTTAGTGGAAATAAAGAATCACGAAGGGAGGTTTTTGCTGTATTCGGGACTTATAACTCCTAAATAGGATTGAGGCTTTTGAAAATGCAGTGCTCCTTCTGTTGGCACTGTGTCTCTGTACCATTCCTCAGTGCCATTACTACGAGTCAACTTAATATTTTGTAACTATTTTGCTTATGACTAAAGACCAGCATATTTCTACAAAACCAGCAGAAATTCTGATATTTTTCAAAGCCTTCTTTTTGAAAAAGGCTTTCTACAGTTTGAGAAGCTTGGCTGCCTTCTATCTGGCAAGACTCATCTTAATGAATTACAGTTTTTCTTAATTCATGTGTGTTACTTAAAAGATAATATTATTTCACTTTCAACATGCTGTCTGCCATGTATCTAGTTAGAAAAGGAATGGGAAAGATGAAGGTCTTGAATTGGTGAGATGGTATTAGATATATAGAGGGTCACAAGTTCTGGCAATTATACTTTAATAGTTCCCCTTCTCAAGACTTTCCTACTGCACTGTTTGTTCACATTCATCAGATCTTGATTGTGTTGGTGTCAGAGCTTACTATCCTTTTCTTCTTTATAGTTCATCTTTAGCTCTAACCATTCTTACAAATGGGAACTCAGAGTTTTCTGGAAGGATTTAGGCAGATGAAATGACCTCCTAGGATAATCGTACACATGAGGTTTGATGGAACTAAATATTCTTATCATTAGGAACAAAAGAAATAAGATAAAAAAGAAGACCAACTTAATAAGTGTTTTGGACAAGATGGAAAAGAAGGAAATTGGGACACTAATTGCCCATTCCACACTTATTTCTCCCTGTTTGGTTCTATAGGGAGGATTTTCTCTTGATTTGGGTACATTTTCCAAGAATGATGGATGTGACTGATGATAGTTGTAATAATAATGTCTCCTCTATGGTTATTGCTGACTGTTGCCAAACTCACTTGGGATTACTTCTTCTTAGAGAAGCGCCCAGGATCCATTTTAGTTTCAAAGCCTCACTTGAAAAACTAAAGATGTCCACCAAAGCAGCTTGCGTCTTCTATCTCTGCTTTTGCATGGCCCAAGCAGCATGGGCCTTTCCACGTTGGGTACTGTTCCTTCTGCCCTCTTAGGGTTGTTGTTTTTTGTTGTCTGGGATTACACATGCTCAGTTTAACTCTGACTTCATCATTTCCATAAGATACTAGTGAAAATACTATTTAAGATAGTTCTGTAGCAGTTACAGCTGTTACATACCCCTCAAGTAAACAGGATGATAAATATTATTTTTAAGTATTTCTTATATATTTGTTTATCCCTACGAATTAATCATCCCATCTTTCTTTAAAATAATCTTTCTATAATGTAAATTTTATTTATTACACCCTGATTAAATTCTTTAAAGTCTCCAAATAACTCTCAGAATAAATTCTCAACTCCTTCGCTTGTGTATTGCTCCTGCCTATCTCAATTCATTCTTTCTGCACATGTGTAGCATAAACTTTATTAGATGCAGAACTGAGCATGACTGAAAAGACAGGGAGAAGTGAGGAAGTGGCAAGATTCTGTAGGAATAATAACATAGTGACCCTGAAGAAAAGTGGATAGCTTTGGTAAATAATCATGAGCTCAATCAGCAGTTATTATAGTGACCTCCAAATGTTGATTTGCTTGTACATTCCAGTCACAAGCCACTGAGTGGAATGCAGGCAAGAACTCTTATTCATTCCTCTGTTCCCATAATGAAGCACAAGATCTGGTACATATGTTATGCTCCAAAAAGGAGCAAATGAATGAACAAAGTAGGGTGATAACGTTAGGAGGAAAAACACATTAGTAAAACTGAGGAGACGGTCAAAGCGTTGAGAAGTAAAAATAACTCAATAACCCAAAATGCTAATCAATTACCACAAACAGCCACAAAATATATTTGGACATAGAATGCAATTTTTCAGCGAATCATGTGCTAAAATATCTGCCCTGTTACAAACCATTTGGTGCCTTTCCATCACAAACAGGAGCTAATCCTGTGGCTTTTCCTGGGAAAAAGACTTTCTTTTGTAGTATCCTTGACAGGTGGAAGAATAATTCATCTTACTCCTTCTATTTTATTTTGGATTTAAGTCATTGAGGTCATCTGACATTTCTTAGAAATACATGAAATTCTACCCTGCTATATTTTGTTTCTCCAGATTTTGGAAGATGTTGCTGTCATCAGAACCTTTTCTCTGCTATGGTAACTTGCATCCTGCTCCTGAATTCCTGCTTTCTCATCAGCAGTTTTAGTGAGTTCCGACAGATGATGACTTTTGGGCTTACAATCCTCTATCCTACCTTTCCCCTACTCACTACCCTAAATGCATATTTTGAGGGAAATAGAACATGTAAAAATAATGTTGGACCTTCAATAGCTATATCCTGTAAATAAAGGTGTCTAAATTATTTTTACGCATTTCATATTAAACTTTTTGTTGACATTTTTCTCCTTCAGATAAAGATAATTTCCAAGTTCGGCCGGGCACAGTGGCTCAGGCCTGTAATCTCAGCACTTTGGGAGGCCAAGGCGGGGAGATCACCTGAGGTCAGGAGTTCGAGACCAGCCTGGCCAACATAGTGAAACCACGTCTCTATTAAAAATACAAAAATTAGCTGGGTGTGGTGGTTGCGCCTGTAACCCCAGCTACCTGGGGGGCTGAGGCGGGAGAATTGCTTGAACCCAGGAGTCGGAGGTTACAGTGAGCCTAGATCATGCCACTACACTCTAGCCTGGGCGACAGAGCAAGACTCCATCTCAAAAAAAAAAAAAAAAAGAAAGAAAAAAGATAAAGATAGTTTCCAAATGTAAAGTGTCTCATTGAAAAAATATGGATATTGTATTTTTGCAAATAGAAAAATACGTTAATAAAAACTTACAAGATACAGAAATCAAAGAATTAAACAAAATTAAAAACATATATGTGTTATACACCACGGAATACTATGCAGCCATAAAAAAGGATGAATTCATGTCCTTTGTAGGGACATGGATGAAGCTGGAAACCATCATTCTGAGCAAACTTTCACAAGGACAGAAAACCAATCACTGCATGTTCTCACTCATAAGGTGGGAACTAAACAGTGAGAACACTTGCACACAGGGTGGAGAACATCACACACTGGGGCTTGTCACAGGGTGGGAGGATAGGGGAGGGATGCATTTAGGAGAAATACCTAATGTAAATGACGAGTTAATGGGTGCAGCACACCAACACGGCACATGTATACATATGTAACAAACCTGCACATTGTGCACATGTACCCTAGAACTTAAAGTATAATAAAAAAATAAATAAATATATGTATTAATATATTAACAGCCAGAGAAAAGCACTGTTGTTTGAAATACCAATTTGTGGCATTTTTAATAGTTTTATATAATAATGTTTTAAGAAAATTTTGCATTATATTTTATCTATTGGTTATTACCTGTATAGTTCTTTAACATTTTTATTTTATCACATACCACTTATAATATCTTGTTTTATTGGCTGTGTAGTTTTCCATCATTTGGATATACCCAAATAGATTTTAATAAGACTTATGAGTGATTATTGAAGTTATTTAATTGCTTGGTATTTCAATAATTTTTCAAATATATTACATTTCATAGATCTGACACTGAAATTGTTATTTTTAAGGTTTTTCATTATTTTCTATGTTTTTCATTAGTGCCAAATTTGCAGTTTAAGTAAAATTTTATTGTTGTTAAAGTAGATTCTTTTTTTTTAAAGAGACAGAGCTTCACTCTGACACCCAGGCTGGAGTGCAGCTACAGATGTGTGCCACTATACTCAGCTAATTAAAAAAATTTTTTTGTATAGATAGAGTCTCACTATGTTGTCCAGGCTGATCTGGAACTCCTGGCCTCAAGCAATCCTCCCACCTCTGCCTTTCTAAGTGCTGAAATTACAGACATGAGCCATGGCATCTGGGCTAAATTAACATTTTAAATGCTGTTGAGATTTAATCATGGTATTCAAATGATTATTTATTTTAATTGAATGCTTACTTTATTTGTGCAATTTTCTTATTTCTGTTTAATCTTAGATAATATTACTATATCTTTGTATACTCCAAAATAGTATTGGTTCTTGCCTAGTTACAAATATTTTTGATTTGTTTTTGTTTTTGTTTTTGAGATGGAGTCTCGCTCAGTCGCCCAGGCTGGAGTGCAGTGGCGCGATCTCGGCTCACTGCAAGCTCCACCTCCCGGGTTCACGCCATTCTCCTGCCTCAGCCTCCCGAGTAGCTGGGACTACAGGCGCCTGCCACCACGCCCGGCTAATTTTTTGCATTTTTAGTGGAGACGGGGTTTCCCTGTGTTAGCCAGGATGGTCTCAATCTCCTGAACTCGTGATCCTCCCGCCTCGGCCTCCCAAAGTGCTGGGATTACAGGCGTGAGCCACCGCGCCTGGCCGATGTATTTGCTTTTAAAATGCTTTACATTTCTTGCTGTTTAATATTATATTTTATTAGACAAAAATGGCCATTTTACAACATATATACAAATCATTAAGCTAATGTAATGTCACACATAAATCCATTCCTCAAGCAGGTGACTGGATTTTTATCAACCACTTTTTTCTAAGTATGTTTTCTTCTTCTCTCCCACCTACCTTCCAACCCCACCAGAGATAATGTCTATTACGAATTGTGCATTTCTCACTACCTTACTTTTTAATAATAAAATACTTTCTAATAATATGATAGATATAGATGCAGAAATAATGTATTGTTTAGTTTTGCTTATTTTAAGCTTTATAATATATCAAACTGCATTTAGTGTTCTGGGCCTTGCTTTTATCTTTCAATATTATATTTCTAAGCTTCATCTCTGTTGTTACAATGGCTATAATTAATTCAGTTTTCATGAAGCAAAATATATTACCTTGTATAAATAAATATTCCCAATGAATTCATCTATTATCCTGTCAATAGTTATTTGGATTTTTCATTACTATGGTAAAATATACTGCTATAAATATGTCTCTGGTGCAGATTTGTGGGAGGTTACTAGGGTCTATAGGTAGAAGTAGACTTACCAGGTTCTGGGATGTGCATGTTTTCAACTTTACCAAATAGGATGAATTCTGCCAACAATGTATATGTATTTTCAATGACCCATATCCTCACTAATATTTTAAATATTCAGAGTTCTAAAGTTTTGCCAGTCAAGAGAGTATAAAGCTATATCTTTTCATCTTAACTTTCAATTTCCTTAAGACTAACAAGTTTAGGCATTTCTCCATGTATTTAATGGTCATGCCTTTTGTTTTCTTCTGTGAAATATCTGTTCAAGTCATTTGCCCATTTTGCTTATTTTTCTAAATATATACATTTAAAAAATATAATCTAGAGACTTTTCCATAGTCATAATATGTGTTGCTAATATATTCTTCACATTTGTGACTTTTCACTTTTTATATGGTGTATTTTGAAGAATAGAAGTTCTTAATTTATCAAGTTTTCTTCAATAATTTTTATCACACTTTGGTAGAAATTTGGTATGTCTGAAAATTAGTAGAAATCCTAATGTACACATTGAAAAAATACCTTAATCAATATATTGACAAAATAGAAATGGCAAATATCAATCATATTAGAATATATATCTCTGTGTATGTGTGTGTGCGTGTGTACCAACTACATTTTTTTTTTTTTTTTTTTTTTTTGAGACGGAGTCTCGCTCTGTCGCCCAGGCTGGAGTGCAGTGGCGCAATCTCGGCTCACTGCAAGCTCCGCCTTCCGGGCTCACGCCATTCTCCTGCCTCAGCCTCCCAAGTAGCTGGGACTACAGGCGCCCGCCACTGCGCCCGGCTAATTTTTTTCTATTTTTTAGTAGAGACGGGGTTTCACCATGGTCTCGATCTCCTGACCTTGTGATCCGCCCGCCTCGGCCTCCCAAAGTGCTGGGATTACAGGCGTGAGCCACCGCGCCCGGCCACAGCTACATTTTTAAGAGCTTTCATTAGACTTATGAGTTATATGATATGGGCACAGGCATTAGAATGCCCCTCACACACATTTCAACTAAAAAGAAAAATGTACATATAGAAAGAAATAGGAAACAGTAGCAGCACTAGGAACTCCGAAAGAGAAATATAAAGAAACCAAAATTTCTGGTTATTCTCGTGAGTGTAGTATAGGCAAGACCACACTGAATGAAGACTTATGGTTAACTCACAATCCACTTTCAGAACGAATATTGTTATCTCTTGTGAAAAATATGTTCTCACTGAGCCATTGTGGACTGAAACTCAGAAATGGGAAGCCTTTTCTATTGTATTCTCTCGCCCTGTTTCTCTCTCTCTCTCTGTCTCTTCCTCTCTCCTTCTCTCTTTCTCTTTTTCCCTCTTTTTCTTCCTCCTTATTGCTTCTCTCTGTCCCTTTGGCTCACTTGCTCTTCTTACTAACACACCATCTCATCGTCATCATATGCGCAGAATTCACCATAAAGTTTCACGTTGAAAAGTCATGGTTGCTTTAAAGTTTTCTCCCTTCACATTGGCTTCCCAATTAAATTTTTATTGTCTGTTCCTCAAAATTTTGGCTTACAAGTAGATTTGGGTTAATATTAATTTCACTTGTTTTAAGTGGATTTTTTTCACTTAGGATTTTTTAAAATCTATTTTACTCATTTCATATTTTTAAGACAGGACTATGAGTAGTCAGTGGTCATCTGAAGGACTGACCTTTTCTGAAGTAGTTGTCTACCTGTGATCCACATAGCTGTTGATTAGGGAAGGTGGAGTAACATACTACAATCCTGGATGACTAGGTCTTCTCCTCCTGCAAAGCCTATTGCAGAATGTATTTAAAACATTTGAGGATATAAATACTCAAAAGTATTTAATGCTGTAGATTTTATTGAGTAGAAAATTATTATGTCAACCTTACAGGATGTTTTCAGTTGTTAAGTATATAAAACATCTCCTTCAAAAATGTGAGGTGGAATCCTCAGATACAGATTATTTTGAAACTGACTAGCCAAGGGACTTTCATTATGCCTGCAAAACAGCCAACCTTACCTTTTCTGTGGTTTATATTGGTGGGAATTGCATAGAAAGGAAAAATTTCTTTCCCTTCTTTTTATTTTCACATTACAATGCAAAGCAAAACTATTCTGCAATGTGGTCTCTAGTTCCCTTTCATGAAAAATTACAGCTTCTCACCTCAAATTTTCTCATTTTTCTTTTCTCTCTACTATGAGTTCTAATAACAACATTTAAGCTAAATGATCATCATCCATCTCACCTACTTATATTATTTCTGCCTTCTAATCTTTGCCATCTCTAATGTATGTTTCTGTCTTTCTTGTAGATGGAACAGATTTGGAGTTGAGGCTGGTCGATGGAGATGGTCCCTGCTCTGGCAGAGTGGAGGTGAAATTCCAGGGACAGTGGGGAACTGTGTGTGATGATGAGTGGAACACTACTGCCTCAGTTGTCGTGTGCAAACAGCTTGGATGTCCATTTTCTTTCACCATGTTTCATTCTGGACAAGCCGTGACTAGATATGGAAAAATTTGGCTTGATGATGTTTCCTGTTATGGAAATGAGTCAGCTCTCTGGGAATGTCAACACCGGGAATGGGGAAGCCATGATTGTAATCATGGAGAAGATGTTGGTGTGAACTGTTATGGTAAGAGTCTAACTAGAATAGGAAGGCAAGGTAAGACCTACTCTCAGGAATCATCTGCTGGAAGGTAGGGGTTTCTATTTTGACTTTGATAGTATTCCTCTGGGAGGTGTAGAAAATATTTTATATATTCTACCCTTCCCTTACTTCCAAAGTAATGTTTAATTGCTTTTCTTTTTATAACTGTAACTGAGTTTAGAAAGAAATGGAGAGAGAGAGACAGACAGAGAGAGAGAGAGAATATATTACAGTTACCAATGTAATATCTTTATCATAACTGTAATTGAGTTTAGAAAGAAATTAAGAAGGTTGGGAGCAGGGATAGTTTTGATGTCAGTACCCTTTTTCATGTACCAGGTACACTAACAGAACAAATATTTTCTGAAAAATGAGGTATAAAATTAAAGCAAAACGATAAAGAATATCATACTAATGATTGATTTTTTCACCTAGGATTTTTGTTTGTTTGTTTGTGTATTTGTGTTTAGAAAACAGTCTCACCTACCCCTCCTATAAGTATTTTCAGTTAGGTTTTTTTTTTTTTTATTTTTGGTAACTTCATTCATAAAAGGGCTATCTTCTAAGAATCCTTTTGATTTTATTTCAGGTTCAAAGTTGAATCAATTTTTCATATGTCTGCTTGTCTTTCTCATAGGTGAAGCCAATCTGGGTTTGAGGCTAGTGGATGGAAACAGCTCCTGTTCAGGGAGAGTGGAAGTGAAATTCCAAGAAAGGTGGGGGACTATATGTGATGATGGGTGGAACTCGAATACTGCTGCCGTGGTGTGCAGGCAACTAGGATGTCCATCTTCTTTTATTTCTTCTGGAGTTGTTGATAGCCCTGCTGTATTGGGCCCCATTTGGCTGGATGACATTATATGCCAGGGGAATGAGTTGGCAATCTGGAATTGCAGACATCGTGGATGGGGAAATCATGACTGCAGTCACTACGAGGATGTCACATTAACTTGTTATGGTAAGAGCCCAAGACATGTAGAAGAAAGGAACAATTTGTTTAGAAATAGTATGTATGGAAAGAAAAGGGTCAATCATTCTCTGGAGAAGAGTTTTCTCTGGTTATAACAAATTTTTGTTACCCCTGAAATTGCTCCATTCTGGAGTTTTCCTAAACACTCTTCCTAAAACTGCTCTTCCTAACAAATGTAAAGCACATTTTGAGTTTCAATATTTCTGATTACTCAGCAGTATTCCATAGGCTGATCAAATCTTTTTTCTAAAAACCTTTTTCAAATAACTTCCTGACATAGTATCATATTTTCCCCTTCTTTCTCTGAGGTCACTCATTCTTAGTCTAGTTTCCCCACTTTACTAATTCTTTCCAGCTACCAAAACTTAGATTTCATCAGGACTAAGTCCCTAATCTCGCACTACACTCTTTCTCTTGGCAATTTACTTTCTTAGCTTAACGTTACTTTTGGAAACGTTAAGGTTCAGGTACATTTTGGACCCTTGGCAATTTACTTTCTTAGCTTAACAAAAATTCCACACCAGACACCTCCTAAGAGCTCTAGATACATATATCCGTGTACCTGAACCTTAACGTTTCCAAAAGTAAGCTTATTATCCTTGTTTACTCATCATCAAATCTTCCTAAGCTCAGTAAATAGCATTACTTCCCACTTCATTGTTCAAGTCAGAAATCTAAGGGATCACTTTTTTTATATATATACTTTAAGTTCTAAGGTACATGTGCACAACGTGCAGGTTTGTTACATAGGTATACATGTGCCATATTGGTTTGCTGCACCCATCAACTTGTCATTTGCATTAGGTATTTCTCCTAATGCTATCCTTCCCCCAGGCCCCCACTCCCCGCACGGGCCCCGGTGTGTGATGCTCCCCGCCCTGTGTCTATGTGTTCTTGTTGTTCAACTAGGGGATCACTTTTAAGTCCTTCATTTCTCTGTTAGCATACTATATTCATTACATGACCAGATGGAAATGATTATACTATTTAAATATTTTAAAATGTGGCTTCTTTTTTGGGGGGACAGAGTCTCATTCTGTCACCCAGGCTGTTGCCCAGGCTAGAGTGCAGTGGCGCAATCTCTGCTCACTGCAGAGCCACCACACCCGGCTGAAGAATGTGGCTTCTTTTCACCATTTTCATTGCTATCAATATAAACCAAGCAACAATCACTCACCACCTCTAAGAAGTCACTATGCAAAGCAACGACCTCTCCCCAGTGGCCTCTCTGCAGTCATTACAAACACCTTCACATCCATTCTCCACACTGCAGTGGAAGTGATGTTTTTTGAAGCACATTTAGTTGACCTTAAAGTAATACAGGAAATTTCTTATTATCTGCAAGATGTTGCTACTCTCTCCTCTTTTCTGCTTGATCTCTGCTGCGTTCTTCATGTACATGATATTTTCTGTCCCACCTCAGAACATTGAGACATTCTTTTCCTCTAGGTAGAAAAAAACTCTTCCTCCTTCATTTCTCTTAGCTAAATTTGGTTATCCATTAACGTCATCTTAAAGAACATTTCCTCAGGGAAGACTTTCTCAAATATAAACATATCCTATTCATATGCTGTGATGGCACTCTGTCCTAATTCTTCATGTGTTAATAACATTTTAGTTATTTAATTTCTTGCCTTCTCTCAAATATGCTAATACCAGAGGGATGGGAATTATTTTAGACTTATTTATTCCTAACAATTAGCATAGTTTTCAGCAATTTTAGGTGATCTATACATGTTTATGTTTTAACTGGTTAATTTATTAGAAACTCAGGAAGGTGGAAGAGGCGTAGAAAATATGATGTCTTTGTTCCTATTCTTAAAATCCAGTTCCTCCCGATCATTTTTTTATGTTTGGAATTTCAGGAAGATACAATATTCTTTAATTTCTAAGTGATCTGTCTCCTACTGGCTGACAGAGTTCTTACAAAAAGTGAATAATAATCTGAAAGAACTTAAAGTCTTGGAGTAGTTCAAAGTCAGGAAGAATACTTAGAATCTTCTGTAAAGTCTTCTAATTTCTTCTATTTTTTTTTCTACGAATATCTACAGGTTTGTAAACTCCAATAAATGTTTTGAAATAAAGATACAAATTAGTATCAGATTATTTAATAGGATGACTTACTTAATGTAAGTCTTTAGAATTGGGTTACTGAAATCTGAGGTGTTAAAAGCAGTTTTTCAACAAACAGTATTTCAAAGGGACAAACCCAATTCTCCTGAAGTAAGAAAGGACTTGGTGGCCTCCAAGGGTAGAGAAAACACTGGAGTAGCTGTAACTTAATGAGGAAGGTTGCGTGATAGTTGATGAAGCTGAGGGCTTGTACTCAGAGACTGGGGAGCTATGGCAAGAGTTTTCGACTTTATTTTAATAGCCAAGGGTATTCTTTGAAGGGTTTTATGCAGATAATTACCATGATAAAATTTGATTATTATAATATCATGTGGACTAACTGAATGAACAACAGCTTTTGAGAGCCAAGCTTGGATGCAGAGACACGAGTTAAGAAGACCCTGAAGGAGGTCAGGTAAGACATGATAGTGGTTTGACTAGGGCTAAAATAGTTAAGATAGAGATAAGTGGATGGATTGGAGTTATAATTACACAGCAGCTTTGATACTACCAAGAGAAGTGAAAAAAGAGGTGAGAAAGAAAGAAGGGTAAGAATTTTCCCCAAATTTCTTATGTATACAGCCTTGTAGCTAGTAGTACCGTTTAAAAGCAAGATGCTAAGAGTGTTAGAACATTTTTGAGGTACTTGGAAAATATGCAGGTGGATATTCCCACTGGAAATTCTCAGAAGAAATGTCTGAATTAGAGATATAAATTTAGTATCAGCATATCAGCAGTGCTTGAGGACTTTGCAATTGATAAAATCTTGGGAGATTTTAGAGGAATTAAGACAGATATGATTTTGTGGTTTACAAATTTACTATAAAGACAAATCCAAGGAAATTCTTAAAACATTTTTGATAATTTGCAGTAATGCCTACTGAAGTGGACATTTTATTTTGATTTATAAATGTCATAATAGCCCCTAAGAATTCTGTTATTTAACCTAAAATGTGTTTTAATTGTTACATGGTTTGAAAACATTTCTCCTCATGACAAAATGGGGAAAAGTATCCAGTTACAATTTCAAATTTGAGATAATATCCTTTATTTTACGTAGTTTTTTCTTGTTTATTAAACTTTGCTACACATATCTTCTGATTATGTTTAACAATTTTGGCACATAACACAATATTGTATATATAATTATATTTTTAAGTCAGTTTTTGTAGAAGAAACTCAGATTAAATAATTTGTTATTTATATTTTTACTTTGGTATTGACACCTATAGACTAGTTTGATTGGATTATTTGAGTCTGCAAACATAATTTATTTACTTCTTCCAGCTACCTGGATGTGAAAGGAACATCAGCAGCAGAATTAGCAAAAGTTAGTTTTATATTTTCACTACGTTTAAGTGACCACAAATGTGCCCCAAAGTGCAAAAGAGAGTATCAAATTCTCACCAAAATTACAGCTATTGAAAGCAAGTAGTAATGATGAGGGTGGTATATAGGTATAGAAACAAAAGAGAACAAAGGGAAGTCAAGTCTAGGTTTGATACAATACAACTGAATGGGAAAATGAAGAAGCGAGGAAGGGGGCTTTAGTCCAGAAGCTGGTAAATCATATGAAAATACTGGCTTACAGTGCAGGAATACTACTCTGAGTGAAGAAAGGAACTACAGAGATAAGTAATAAGTGACAAAGAGATGATTTTTCTAGGGCTTTTTCTTGTTGTGTACTAGACACAATGACTGATTCTGTGAAAAATAAGAAAAAGGTATGTGTTACCTATTTTGTCCTCAAGGAACTAATAATCTACTGGGCAAACAGTATGAATACATGCCATCTAAAGAACATTGAAAGTGAACGTATATTTCACACTAAATAGATTCCATTGACTTAAAAAAATTTTTTTTATCGGTACAATTGTCTATGTTATGTAGTTAAATACAATTCTCTAATTTTACTCCTTATTTTAGTATCTGGATGATAGTTAAAACCATAAAGGGGGTATCTTGGCAATCAAAATAGTCTTGGATTTTACAGTTTTATTTAAAGGTGTTTGGCTTCAGTTACAGACTTTTCAGTTACAGAAACCCAGTTTTGCCAAGGGCAGCCAGACATTATTTGATTCAGCAGAATTTATCTGTTACTAAATTTATAACAGAATGACATATAAACAAAGCTTCAAATTATTGTTTTGCAATTAGCAATGTAACTATCAAGTAGGCCAGAATGTTTTTGAAAATTGGTCAGAATATACACTCTTCATAGGAAATTTATTATATAATTATATAATAAGTTTGATGAGACTTAACTAAGAACAAAAGAAGCAAGGGAAGTAAGTTGTAATTAATCATTGACCAGCACCATTAAATACAGACAGTCTGAAACCTCTATAACTTGGAAGGATGCCTGCATGAGGGGAATGGATTGTCATGTTCACTGAACAAGAATCACATTAGCAAGTATGACATTGTCAAATTCTTGCTATCTGGCCTGCCTTTATCATTTTATTAAAGCCCTTAAATGAGTTTGTTTGACATGTAAAAAGCTGTACATATTTAATATACACAACCTGATGAGTTTAAGAAAAACTGTAAACCCACGAAACCATCACCACCATCAAGGCCATAAGAATATGCATCACTTCCCAAAGTTTCTTCCCACCCCTTTTATTATTAATTTTTTGATGGCAAGAACATTTAACATAATAGCTACCTTCGTAGCTGCTTTTAAGCATGCAGTACAGTATCTGTAGGTCTTTTGAGGTAGAATGAACATTTTAACAATATTAATTCTTTTAATCCATAAACGTGGGATATCTTTCCATGATTTTTATCAATGACTTCTGGTTTTCAGAATACAGATATTTCACCTCCTTAGTTAAATTTACTCCCAGGTATTTTGTTCTTTGTGATGCTCTTAC